TAAACTTTGATGGTAAGTATAGCTTGATACATTCATGATTCTCAATAAGATTTGAGTTTTTTCGATAGCGAATTTAATTCAACGACTGTGGCGATTGTCAATCAGTAGAATTAGAGGCATTCAACCAAGAACAATAATTAATTTTAGCATCAGGTTATCTCTTATTATTTATGTTTCTTTACTCTCATCTATTTATTACATAATCAAAAGAAATAAGCACTTTATATGTAATAGAATGAAACTTGATAAGATATAATAAATGAAGATGCACTTACTTTCAATATAAATATATCGAAAGCAAACTATTATTTCAAAATGCCAAAAATACTGTAGCTTGGATTCAGTTTTCACTCATTAGTCAAAAAAGTACTGACAAATAAGCCTATACTAAAAATGTAATTGCTAGCTATGGTAACTTGTTCTAGTACTTACGGTTGAGTGAAAGGCAATTCACAAACTTCATATAACAATTTTCAAAATCAACATAGATAGTTTAACCATGTTTTTCTTTCTTTTTTGTCAAGACTCTCTTAAATATGCTCATTATCATTATGCGATGCTCTCGACATAGCATCATACTGTTGCAAGACTACATCATTATTCTGGTAGGCCCGGCATGGCCAGGTGGTTAAGGCACTCGACTCGCAATCTGAGGGTCGCGGGTTCGAATCCCCGTCACACCAAACATGCTCGCCCTTTCAGCCGTGGGGGCGTTATAATGTGACGGTCAATCCCACTATTCGTTGGTATAAGAGTAGTCCAAGAGTTGGCGGTGGGTGGTGATGACTAGCTGCCTTCCCTCTAGTCTTACACTGCTAAATTAGGGACGGCTATCGCAGATAGCCCTCGTGTAGCTTTGCGCGAAATTCAAAACAAACAAATTATTCTGGTTTTTATTTTTGTATTTTGAAGCTATGTAATAATGGTCTACGGATTTTGGGGGCATTTTTATTTCAAGTTTTCCTCTTGTAAGCTTTTGTGTTCTCGAGATGACGTCGTAGATCCACGTTAATTAATTGTTGTGCTATAATAAAACAATTTGAATAAATGACGAATCATAGTGAATTTCAAGTGCTATTTGTTTGAGTACTTGATGAAAGAACAGCTAGCAAATGGCCATGTAATAAAATCTTTGTTGATACTATGTATAATATTCTACTGCAGCTCGTACTAAAGATGAAGAAATCGTATTGGTCGAAATATGTAGTTATACAATGTGTTGCAGAATACCCTGTTATAAACTGTATAAAGTTATATATAAGGTAAATTTTAAAGCAGTTGCTCTTTTTGCTATGTTAATATAATCTTCTTTCATGAGAATTGTGTTTCAGAATTTTCATGAAATTATTTTGAAGTTAAACAAGACTTATCAAATTATGTATTTCCAGTTAGTAACACTGTCCAAATGCCTAGTTTAGACGAATTACTGCTAAAATGATTAATGTTTTACAGTGTCTTGATTATTTGAGCATTTATAATAATATATTCAGGCAAGATGCATATAACAATTTTGTTACATGTAAACTAGAGAGGGTTGAGTACATTATATTAAAAAAAAATCAAATATTCAAGTCAATCAGTTATGTGACAAACACATTTAACATAGAGTCGAAGTGGAATTGTTTATATCATAACTGCATTTTGACAAGCTTTGACGTTATGTATGTAGTGTGATGCCACCGAAATTTGACCGTGTTTGGGAATGATATGTACCAGCTCTTTCCGACTCAATATATCCATACGCCTATATAATAAACATGTGCTCAGATCGAAAATTTACAATTTTCAAGAAGGTAATATCCCTTGCACTGACATTGCACCAAGATCATCCAGACAGAATCCTGTGACATGTAGTAACCTTACCGTGGAAAGAAAAGTGTGGAGTATTGTATCACGTGAGAACCCACGAACACGAAGATCAGTAATAAAAACCGTTTACTTACTCCAAGTAACAGTATGTAACATGACCAACAAGGATCATCATCTGGAAAAGCGAAACAAATCAGACATATTGAAGCTCTTTACACGATATAGCCCTTCAACCATCACACACCTCAAGTAGCTGGAGAATGAAACGAGTGTTCATGCTATTTTATCTGAAGACATACTGGTCAAACCGCCAGATGCAATGCTTGTAGTGATGTGTATGACCGACTGTTAAACTGGTGCTGAAAAACTGAATTATTGTTCACATACGCAAGGAGAATTATTGTAAGCAAACAGGAAAAAGTGACGTGCTTTTGAAATGACAACCTTATGACAAAGCCACTTGTAGTGACATTGACTGTAGTGATATGGTGAGATTCCGAAATCGGTTTAAAATAATGCACTTAATCTCTGTATTTCTGTATGAATTTCAGTGAGTTTCTTTAAACTGAATAGTAGATTAAGGGTTTAAAGGTTTTTGTTTAGTTCTGTAAACCAAACAGTTAATTGATTATGACCAAGAATGAGGAAAACATTCAAGGAAAACTCTTTAGAGTATACTAAATATTGTTTACTTTCTAATGAGCTTCGTTTATAGGTATTCATTAAAGTGGAGTCTTTAATAAATCACTTTGTGACGAACTAAAATAATAGATACACATAATTTATTCATAATATTACACCAATATACCACTTACGTTTGTGTTAAGCTAAAGTATAGAACAATGTAGGCTATCCATTTTTTTCTTCATACTTTATATGTTTCTCTTCACTCATTTGCTTATTGGTCTCTTGTGCCAGATATGCGTATATCAAAGCATAACGAAACAAACATGATGTTTTAATATAATAAATACAAAATTAAAACATACACACCAAACTTTCATTCCATTTGCTAGCAGGGTAATTGTTCCAAATTCTTATCGTTTTAAACTCTTCTAACAAAAGGCACTAATATATCTATCTCGGTCCAGTTTAACTCGTTTTTACTTTTCTTTTCCATCTTTTTTTACTCGATCCTAGGTCAGAACCATAAATCCCTTGATGGATCAGTGACACTTTTATGGACTTACAATGGTAAAATCTGGAGACTGATTCACAGTGGTGGACAGAGCATAAATAGTCCATTGTGTAGTTTTGCTAAAACAACAATAACAAAATTGCAAATCTTTTCATCTATGAATAGTTTCATCTATCATATTACTACAAGACGTTTTTCGTTTTGGTCATTAAATCAGATCTGAAGATCCAGTATAGTCGCAGCTGTTAGATAGCCCTAAAAGGATTGTCCTGTTTAGCAGCATTGTCTTATATAGTAACAAGCCAGAAATTCTGAAAGTTTTAATGATCACGTTTGAAATGAGTGAAATCGAATAAAACAAGGAAATTAATTCAATTCAGCATATTATTAAGAGGATGGTATCTTTCTTAAATATCGGAAAAGGCTGGTGTAACTTAGAAAGAAAACTTACTTAGACATGCTAGAGAAAAAAAAAAGATTGATTGAAATAAGCACACTAAATATGTGTTAAAGTTAGGAAATAGTTAGCAGTGAAGAAAAATAAATACAAAACTCAGGCTAGATACAAAAAAAAAAAAGAAAAGAAATATACACCTAGTGCATATAAACAATAGCGTAGTATAGGAAAAGCTGATTTGTAAGTATGTGTTTCAGGAATATATATCACCAGAAAATTACATCTTGTGTCACCATGACGCCAGAAAGACGTACAAAAATCTTCACAAAGTGACATAACTAAATAACTCTAGTTCAGTTGAGTAAAGCTGGATAATGCTCTGCCTGACACTAATAATTGAAACTACACTATATCATGTCCCAACGAGGGAATGTAAACGTTTGGTTATATATAAGTAATAAAAGAAGTCTGATGAAACCATATATGGAGAGTTAGTAGTGAGAAAAATAGGCTGGACGGGAATAAGATGTTTTAATAATTGGATATCACCAGTTAAATACAAATAATCATGTGCAGAAAAAAGTATCATTCACCAAGATTGTCCTTAATAGCAATGAACAGCAATGGCCTAAAAGTTACCCATTACTTGAGATTGATAGAAAGTTCTTAGTTTCACTTGGAGAAATAGTCCAGCCATTATTTAAAAAAAATATCGTGATAACTAACTAGTTTCGTTTCTCTCACTCTCATGCACTACACAACAACAAGAAGATGTAAAAGTTGGATTACATGCACTACATAGCAACAAGAATATCTAAAAGCTGGATTAAAAAAATTTAGTGAAAAGAGCCAGTCATCAACAAAAGAACCAGATGTAAGCCTGTATTAGTAAGACCTCGAGTAAATAAACTAGAGTTAGAGGTCATCAATCCAAGTCAGTCCTGATAGAAATAGAGTAAATAGAATAAATATCTACTTCTAAGTAAAATTCTTATTATATTTGAAGTGTAATGTTATACAAGAACTAAATTATCAAGTAACCATTTAATTGTAAATATAATGAAGAATTATTAATTCATCATTACTTCTCTAGTAGAACAGCGGTAGGTCTGCGGCCTTACAATGCTAGAAACCGGGTTTCGATATCCGTGGTGGGCAGAGCACAGATAGCTCTTTTTGTGCTTAACTGCAAACAAACAACTCATTTCATCATTACCAGTTTTTGTTTTACTTATCCTCTTATAAACATCTATTTGCGATCTATATGGTGATCTATTTGCTATTGTTACAGAGTGAATTGTTACGTATTATAATTTATCCCAGACGAGTCTTCAATTTATTACGTAACGTATTATAATTTCGAACTGAGTTAAATGTACAGCGTATTCGAAAAAAAAAAAAACGAGTCTTCACTACAGTTTGACGTAAACACCTTTCTAGTTTCGTAAATATAGTAAACGAAGGGCAATTAGTTACTTTTCGATAAAATCTCCCCCTGTTTGTAAATAACTGTAAACTTATCTGACAAGATTAATTAGGAAGTAATTATACATAAAAACCATGAAATCTATTTCTCTGTACGTAATATAGCTTGACTCAGTAGCTTTAAATATTTTCGAAAATACATTTTAATGCAATCATAAACAGAACGCTAAATATTTCACGAATTTGCTTTATTAATCACAAAAACACATAATTAATTACAATTGTATTTGATATTTGATTATTACATTCGATCTAAAAATAAATTACATCATTGTTTATCCAGACTTTATTAAATATTTGCTGTAGAATTTTAAATTTTCCACTTAACAAGTGAGCTCAAGCTCTTTAAGCGTTGTTAATTTCCTTCCCACAAGGTGAGATGGCCCACTACATTCTCCTATAAAATAGCTTGGCTTCGGCTGAGATACTATCCACTTTAAGCGGCAGTCACAGATGATGTTGTTGTCTGAAATCAAATCCTTAAATTAAATCAAAATGTACATGATAAATTAAACTGATTAATTTAAATCAAGTTATTTGAGCCTTGAGGTTTTATATTGCATAAACGATAAACAAAAGTATAGGTGTTTTTGTTATGTCTTCTGTAAGTAGTTCAAAAATGTGGTATAGATTGTAATGTGTACAGAAATAAGAGAGTGATTAGCTACATAATGTATTTTATTATCATAGTTTTATTGAGATTTCACATAAAATCTTTTAATTTATTTCTGATGGTTTTTTTGGGCAAGTCTAGAAACGATCCAGCACTTCATATTGTAGTCAAATTGTACTGCAACTTCCAATGGAAACTTTGTATATCCATGTGCTTAAAAAACAAACTTGTTCTAAGTTTAGAGATTATGCATATATCGATAGCACATAAATAGAACTATTAATAGAAAGGCGTAATTTTACCTTTTAAATAATACGTACACAATGAAACATATTTGTTTCGCCATACCTTTTGTTAAAATGCCAATTAAAAGAAAAAACTGATAATGACGTTTTGAGCCACATAGTTCACTGTTTTAAAAGAACCTATATTTTTTCAATATCATTCTCACCTCAGTTCATAAGATTAGTGAAACTTAATTGTTGTGTTGTTTGGAAAAAGCCGATTGATCGAGTAGACTTGAAGTAAAAAACAAAGTTGTAATGTACATACCAACACTATTGTGTGATTCGAAAGCAGAATAGTATTATAACATTACATAATAGGATAACAGTGTAATTACAGATGGCGTTTACTAAAATATTTGCTTTAGAGAATTCACTATGTATTAACACAATATTTTTGCTTATGTTAGTTTGACTACGTCCTGATGAAATGTTCACAACAGTTCTAAAATGTATAACTTTATGCTTAATATTCATATCAGAGAAACTACTCTATAGTACTTACGTTGAATTTCTAGCCATAGGTCATGTTTCCAAACTGGACCAAAAACATCTTGTGAAATTGTCATCAGATGATTGCCACTTATAAATATTTGTTTTAATTTAGGCATATTCGTAAAAAAGTCGTCAGGAAGAGAGTCAAGTTCGTTGTTACTAATGGAAGGAAATAGAAACTATCTTGAACTACTGTAATACAGATAAAAAACTCAAACATAAAATAAGGAGTAGAAGATTTCCGTACTAAGAAAAATACTAACGGGATGATAACAACGTAAAGCAATAAAACAACTAAAAACAGACAGTTTGCGAAAACAATCTTATGTATTTATTTACTGATGGGTAAAGTTTCAGTGATGTATTAATACGTTTTAAAATCAACTTTGCTTCAACAGTTTTCTTTTTGAAGTTTGTGTGTTTTAAGCACATGAAATTATGTTAACTTAAAATTTATTCTATAGATTACTTCGATACATCCAAAATTAACTGAGCTTTTTACAATCACATTACCAATCACATATGGTAATCCATCATCAACCAGTTCGTTGTTTCCCATGAATTATTTTTCTTTATTTCTTATGATATTCATTCAAACTTTAATGATGAGTTACGGAAACATAAAGTATTAACTAGTGAAATAAACTAAGCAGGAGGGCAGTGATTTATAATCCACTGAGATTTTTACCTCAAGTTAATAAAAAATAATCTTTCGGCTGGATTTGGAAGCATACTTCTGGAAACACGTCTAATTTGGTTGTCCTGAAGGTATAGAGAACTCAAGTCCTTAAACATTGCAAATGTATCTTCTTTCAGGCTCTGAATCTCGTTGTTGCCAAAGTTAATCCCGTGCAGAAGTCGATTGTTGCTTAAAGCGGAAAAATCGGAAGAAATCGATCTGAGATCACCATCAAGGAACTGTAAGACCATCAAAGAACTAAATTTCTCAAATGCCTTCCAAGACCATCCATTCATAAATCTGCAATTTATGATATCGATCATATATGTTCTTTTTTCGAGGCCTTGTAAGGCATATTCAGTTGGAGAAATAGCGAGAAGACCTGTGTTTAACAGTTCTATGTATTCAAACGATGTACCTTCAAACTCTTCACTGGGTAAATATTGTAGAGTTGAATCCCGAATGGACAATGCGTAAATGTCGACGCCACGTGAAGCTTTCACGACGTATGCTAGGATATCGGACCTCAGTAAGTTCCTACAGACAATGTGGCTTCTATTTTCCTCGCTGAGCTCGCATGTACACGGAAATATGTCCTCTTTCGGAGGACATTCCTTGCCGTCAAATTGAGCCTCAGTTGAAAACAAAAACGCCACACAAATAAAAAAAAGTATATTTAAAAGAGATTGAGAAAAATGCGAATTGTTTCTCATTTTTCTTTCCACCTTTCTCTCTTCAGCTGGTTTAAGCACAAATGTATTTTCACAAAGTGTTTGTTTATCAATGTTATTATCCTAGTTAAAGCAGATGGTCAGTTTCACATGGTGTAAAAACATCTGTGAAAAAGTGTTTAAACACACACACACATACTCATGCACACTCACCCGCTCAAACAAACACAAATTAATTTTGTTGATATATTACAGGGTAAATTCTTTGATTTAAATGTGTTAGATATGTATATATACGTATGAAATAGGGCGCTCGACTCGCAATCTGAGGGTCGCGGGTTCGAATACCCGTCACACCAAACATGCTTGCCCTTTCAGCCGTGGGGGCGTTATATATGTGACTATCAAGCCCACTATTCGTTGGTAAAAGAGTAGCCCAAGAGTTGG